ATTTTTTTTTCACGAGCGATAAAACAATTTTATCAACGTGTACACGGTGCGCACGAGTATTTAACTTTTTTTTTTTTTCCTCTCTCTTTCATACGCCGGAGCAACGACAAGCCCGGCGGAGAGTCCCTTGCAGCGGCACACCCCGGCAAACTGTTGCTCATATGCCGCCAACTTACACATAAACTATACACTTATACATCGGTCATTTTTTGCTACATTCTCGCTTCGGTCGTCCCCAAATACGCACGCACTGATGCTGTCTGGCACTTGTCGGCCACTCATATTGAGATACAACGCGCCCGGTTACTGGTATATAGGGCGTGTAATTTCACGCAACAACTAATTCGAATGTTATAGCAACGCCGATTTTGATGAACATTCAGGGCGACGCGTGCTTAATTTAATCCGCGTGTCATATCGTGCATTTTAAATGCGTGATCGTTACTGTAGAGTCAAACAATCAAGCTCATGGGTGAATTTTATTCATTTCAGCTGCACCGAGATGCTTATACTGTACGAAAAGATTATAAATTATCGCGGCTCGTGATTTTACCAACTTTTCGGCTCTCGACTCACCGAGTATACACCGAGACGAGAGAAAAACACGTTTCGGAACACCCAAAAGCAACAGCATAACGAAAAGTGCCTATATACATATAAACGATCAATCGTCACTATCATTGCAAAATTGAATGCAAGGAAAATCCTTCCGACTCTTTTTTTTTTCTTCCGATGAGGAAAAAAAAGAATGAACCATCGCAGGGAAAAAAGTATAGGCACCCTCGGTTATGTATATAGTTGCACTACGCAGTGGACGGCCGAGTGATCGATAAACAGCTCAAACGTATAGAGGGGAAGGGAGAGTCGGTAACTGATACTTATCACGTAAGTAGGTATAGGTGTGTAGGTGCGTGTTTATACACGGGAGAGCGCCGAGTCATTGTTTATCCTGGCTAGCCGCTGCCGTTACGGGGCTGCATGGAACATGCAGATGCTGACGTCGTCGACTGACAGCCAACCCCTCGGCGTTGTAACCAACTCTCCTGTAGCCCGGGCTTTTTTTTTTTTTTTTTTCATTGCTGAGGGGGGTCGTTTTGGCTTCTATACTCACGCTGCAGTAGATATAACGTCTGCGCCGTTTGACGAATAGCTAACAAATTCATCCACTGATACGCATTTTACGCGTTTAAGTAGTAATAGCCGAGTTTGGTCGGACACGCGCTCCTCCTATCTCAGATCAGTTGTCCCTTTGGAACGACTGTCGCGCGCAATTTACAGTGACTCGTATGCAAGCCGATAATAATCAGCAGCTCGTGTTCTGCAAAGTGCACGGCAAGAACGATCTACTGCTTGTGCACGAGCTAAATTTTGATCGCACATATTGTACGCAGAAGTATTGCCACCACGCGTAGCAACACCATGGTTGGTATGAAACTTTTACAAAAAAAATTAAACATCGACATCGTCAGAGCAGATCCGGCGAGACAAACGAAAGGGCAAAAGCCGAAGGCGACCTTTTTATACGTACGAGTATTGAATAACCGCGGTAGCCCCGAAAGAGGAGCCAAGACCGCCTGCGCGCTACTTTTCCTATTCGCTTTCTTCCACCCCCCTTCCTTAATATAAACAAAAAAAGCTATTATGCGCGAATGCATTAGTCGCCCTGCTCGGGCCACAAAGGAAATTTTTGTTGGGTATACATGTATATATATACATGTTATAGTCGAGTCCAGAGCTTTCGAAAGCTTTAGGCTGTTACACGTGCACCAAAGGAAAAAAAGAGAGAGAGGGGTTGGGGGCGGCCTCGATGAAAGGCCGTGCTAATTGCACGACAACCGCGCGTCGTGTCCGCGTTCACTGGTAAATTATTTCGATATCACGCTCGTTATTGCGCCAAATGATATTTACACCTGAATCTCGGTTCCCTCATTTTCAGCGCTTTCGTTCATTTTCACCCGGCTCGACCTCGATGCCGGAGATTCACATTTTTTTTTTGGGGGGGGGGGAAGAAAAAATCCATAGGATTTTCCCCCCTTTTCGCCCTTTTCAGTTAATTATGCCCACGTGATACGTTACAAGCACGCCCCGGCGTAATTAGAAGTAATTAAGGGAATAAAGTAGTAATAATAAAGGAAAAAGCCTGGGTTGGAAAAAATAAAATAAAATTAAAAAAAAAAAAAACGAAGGACTCGAGGGTAAAAAATTTAATGAATGTAATCCTCGTAACTCGCTTTCGAGTGCGCGCAAACTCTCTCTCTCTCTCTCTCTCGCATCAAAGGTACGGTATAAGTCCGCACGAAGGGATTAAAGCCATATCTTTCCACCGATGGCGATTATGATTGTTTTTTCATCCTTTACGGAGACTTGCGTAGGCACTCGACATCCACACCCAAAATCGAATCTGGCGCGCGCGCGCTAGGGAGAAAAAGAAAAAAAAAAAACGAAGAAAATGGAGAGGAGCTTACTCGACCTCGATTCGGTGGCGGTGGCCACTCGTGTGTGTACTTTGTTATTTCGTTTTTCTCGTCCTCCCCCACCTGTGCATACCCTCTTGGTCCAGGAAAAGACGAAGGGGAAAAAAAGGTGTTTTTAAGGTGAGCCTCTGCATGCGCGGGCAGAAGAAAGAGACGCAGCCGAGGCAACGGAAAGAGGCGGCGAGAGCGTGTCAATAGACAGCGGCGCGAGGGCTTAGGCGCATCAGCGGCAGATAATATGTGTATACATGTGTATATATGTATGGACGCTGGAGGGGCCGGTGGGTTGTAGATAGATATATGTGTGTATACTCCCGGTGATATTTAACCGGCTATTGTTTCTGGAGTGCCGAGTCTTAATTCTCGTTCGAGCTTTCGAGGTCAGACGCGGAGAATAGCCGGGCAAACGAGCCGCGTGCGAGGACGGCCCCTTCGGTATAACATATATATATAGCTTGTTCATCCTCGGAGACCCGGCCTCGGGTTTCTATACGATGAGCTTTGGGTGGGAAAGGATCTCACAACTTTTGATTTTGCTCGTTCGAGTGTGACCGCGTTTTGTACTATATATACCACCTGCGTTTTGTTTTCTGCCCCCATGTAGCTCATCCTCTTGCGCTTGTTCTCTAATCTGGCGGATGACGAAAGTTTGGGCACCCGTTTCAATGGTTTCGCCATTATTTATTTAACAAAAATAAAATTAAAAAGTCGATTTTACGCAGAATTGCAGACTAGAGATTCTTTTGACTTCAGACATCAACTCGGAAACACGCGTTGTAAATAATACTTGGTCCCGAAACGCCAGCGAGATGCAGAAAATCAGGTGTTTTCAGCCAAAGTAGCGCGAAAAGGATATCGCGGACCGCCACTTTTCATCAGCCTTACCGAGCCTTGCACTTTTGAGAAAAACGGAAACACACAACTGCCTCTTTTTTTTTTTGCGAGTCCGTGTAAATTCAATTTTACGCAAATTGCAGCATGTTCTGGCGCACGAAAACATCGTTACCAAGGAGTAAGTGTAGGTGTGCAAATTAATTTTAAAGGCCTATTTATTAATCGAGAGCAAACGAGCACACACGAGCAGTAAAAACGGCTTTTCTCGAATAAAAGGTGCAATCTCAAAATGGGAGCCGTCGTTACGCGATCGAGCACTACGTCGTGCAAATGAATATGAAAATTCACCACCCCCCCTGGGGTTTAAAAAATATTCACCCTCCCCTTTTTTTTCTTACGCGCCACGTATTTTGTTTTAGCTCAACCGCGCGTATCCTTCTCCTTTAAACTGTAAATTTTAACACTCGAACAGTTAAACAACTACTTTTTCAAAAACTGAGTTCATACTCCAGGGCTTTTCAATTTAGGGTCGATTTATTATCATTTTCACACGAGGTTAAATTAAAAGTAAACTCTACGAAAATCGCGTAGCCAAATCGTCGGGCAATAAGATGCCAACGGGGTGAAAGGAAAAGAAGGTCGGACGCAGTGGCTCCTACTACTCGTTTCCGCTATATGGTAATAGGCCGTGCGGTCAGAGCCTCCTTCGCCGGATGCATTCAACGCTACTGCGGAACTTGACTGCGGACTGCATATACGCCACCGCCGCGGGTTATTGCTCAGCTGCTGTATACGTGTAGGCACACGGCTTTTCGGGGGAAAATGAAAATTTGATCCATGTTTCGTCCACGCGTTTTATTTCATCGCTTCTTTTTTTTTTTTTTTTTTCGGACCAATCAAACGCTGATAAAAATAGGTGTCGGGGGTGGCTCTTCCCCGTCGTTGTCTCTTCTTTTTGTTTTCATCTTTGGCTGTCCAGCTCTTGGAAAGACTTTTTTTTTTTTTTTTTTTTTTTTTTTTCACTCGTCCATTGTGCCTTTAGGACAATGAAAAAACGAGTACACGGACGGGGAACGAAAACAAAAACAAAAACTCGAAAACTGTGCCAAGAGCCAGAGGAAACCCTGTACTTTGTAAACCAGGTGTTGAAACACGTACATTTTTCTTCTTGCATCACAAATGACGGGAAACTATACCGATGAATATTGTTCGAACGCGCGTTAAAAAAAATAAATAAACAAATCCAAGCTCTCGCGTTGGTGCAGTCTTGACGAATGGTTTGAAACATTGTTCTCTCTTTCCTTGCTAAACAGAGCATCAGCGCCTGCGTGGCGTTGCAACACACACACACACACACACTTTTCGGCACGAGGGTGGTGCGCATCGAATGTTTAATTCCCATTTATGCGGAGTAGCGAAAAAAAAAAAAAAAGGAACAACCAGCCCCTGTTCTCTTTTCACTCGGCAAATCGCTTCCCCCCTATACCCTCCTCGAATCAAACCGAAAGAAAAAAGTAGCGCCCACGTTAATTGAAAGGTCACTCTCGGCTCGGGTGAAGCTTTCCCTTTGAAGCACGCAATGACGCGCGCGCGTCCAACACGCATGGCCGATCTAAGCCCATTTATATATATATATAAATGAGTGGGGGTTTTATCGATTTTGGTATTGAAAGAAAAGAGGTAAACTCGAACCTCGTTGGGTGGACGCGTCGGTGGGCATGTCGCTGCCTCGGGCGAGCAACAGCCTGGGCTGGCTCTCCTGGGCCCTCGGGAGTGTGGTGTCAATGGTGGTGGGCGGTGCGAACGGACGAGCCTCGCTGTCCTCCCGGCTGATTGTCCCCGACGCCTCCTGGACGACGGGGATCTCGGTGCCACGGCGCTTCGGCTGCTCGCAGCGCGGTCATCTCAACGGTGCGCCGCGCTTTCGACTCGAGGGCGAGACTATCGGCTGGCTCGTGACGATTTTCATGGCTCGTCCGGCCGACCATCGGTCACTGGAACACACAAAGCCATCCAGAGATTTTTTTCATTTCGCCGAGTTACGTCAATGTTACACCTTGCGCCATGGGAGTAACGTAGAGACGCTCGAGAGTATTTTCTCCACCCCCTTTGTAGTAACTCAGGGGGACAAGTATTTTTCTCCTCTTTCCAAAAGCCACTGATCGCCAGTTCACGGGTCCTTTGGTGGTCTAAGTCTTTGGGGACTGTGTGCTCCCTGCATAATTTTGAAGGACCGAGGGAGAGGGTATCTCGCGAGCGTCTCTGTGTAATTGATTACGCGATACGGAGGGAAGATGAGAAAAATAACTGGTCCGAGTTGTATATAGGGCGCGGAGATTTTTTTTTTTTTTTTGGGCGTTTAGCGAAATTGTCCTGGCGCCTATTTTTCTTGGGGCCGCCTCGTATATATCCCTCCTGCTGCTCCTTGATTGGATTATTTTCGAGGAGGGCGCCAAAAAGTCATGCATACAAACATTTTCAAGTGGATTGATGTTTTCGTGAAAACAAATTTAAAAAGAAAAACCAAGTTGAACGTTACTCCTCTTTTTGACGCACCCCGTTTTTACGAATGTCGAGCTTTTTCAAATACCCATTGAAAAGTTCTACCTTCGGATCAACCTCGCATTGGGTAAACATTAAACCATGAAACGTATACGCTTGTGGTTCTAGTATGAAAAAAAAAAAAAATATATATATATATAGGTCACTCCGGTGTACGAGTAGAGCGGTGGTGCCTAAAAATGATAAATACAAGAGTGAAAGTTCCCCGAGAGCGATCCATTACAGCGTCACCCTCTCGATCCAAAACATACTTTCCAATATAAACAACCCGGGCCCGACTCTCCTCGCAAGTATAACACACCCAAGAGCATCCCTCTCCACGATGGGTGGCCAAAAAACTTTGGCAAAAACATAAATCACGCGCCAAAAGTCAAAGGCCGATCCTTGGCCCTCGTGAATCATCCAACGGCTACTCCTTTGTAGCGCACTCAAGAACAAACGAAAAAGACATCGGAGCTTTTTGTTCGCCTTTTGGGTAAAAACAAAAGTGCGCGAGATGGGGGCTTTGGACATATATACCAAGGAGGGGGGAAGCCGCCTGGAGGACAGCTTATGCATTATTCAGGAACGAAATCTCGCGCGGACGGGGGAAAATAAAACGCACCCAGGTAAACCTTTTTCGTCGTACGTATATAGGTATATATACATGTGGGCTGAGGAGGTCGGTAATCCGGACACGTTTCTCGCATCGGCGTTTCGTTAATAAGGCACGAGGTGTTTGGAAATTAGACGGAAACGTGACTTTTTTTTTTTTCCCCCAAAAAACGATGATCCAACTGTTATCCGGTGGAATACGCGATCACCAATATAGCTCCCCTTTCTCGAAGCCAATATGAACTCGTTTTTCTCCGGCAAACTTTGGTGATTCTCGTCTCGGCTGCTTTCGCGGGCATAAAAATACACGAGTGCGCTGAATAAATAAAAAATCAATCACTCAACGTCGGGGAGCGAGGGGGGGAAAAAAAAAAGGAAACGGAGAGAACGCGCTTTCGATACTATTATTGGCGTCCCGATGACTCGGCCTTTCGGTGTGTCCCAAAATGGCGAGGTAAATAAAGCAACCCGAAAATTAAGTTAAGATGAAAATACTTGGTTTCCACAGAAATCGAGCTTTTATTTTCCATAAGGTCTTTGATCGGTTGCAATTGACAGCCAAGCCTACTACTGAATCATTCATTTTTCTTTGTACCAAAAAAATTACTTAGACAAAACACTACAGTACCAGATGTTTTTGTATCACCTGTGCACAGTATTATACGGTAAAAAAAAAAAATTTTGCTCGCTCACAAAAGATTGTTATCTCGGAGCTTTTTAACTTTTTTCCAACCTTCAATCAGCCGACGATTACTAATCTTAAAAAAGAAGAAAAAAGAAGCACGCCTTAAAAATGTCTCACTCATACGCCGTGAGTATATACAAAATGTAGAGTTAAAGCGAGGGTATAGGGAAAGCTCGCGCGCGATTTATCTCTCCAGGTTTGGAGCTCTGCTCTCCGCGGTTTGGGATGTATATACATACAAAGTAGGGAAGAGAAGCCGAGGCCGCAAAATCAGCGAGCGAAAGATGCCGCATGTATATACACGCCAATAATAGCCGGGGAATGAATTAGGTATACGTGTGCACACACTACCCTATTTACTGCTTAATTTTCTACGTGCTGATGGCTGTTGCTACAATGGTTAACGAGCTAGTTGCAGAGAAATCGTGCCAATCGCGATAAAAAAAATATACAGACGCATTATCTGTACTGCAGAGAGTAAGCTTTAACGCGCCAATTAAAATTCATCATCGATGTAGTTCGACTACTTACCGACGTGCAGTGTTATATAGATTTAACATCGAATGTAATGATTATCCGTGGAAAATTCAATCGATACGTCACAACCGGATTTAATACGATTTAATATATATGATTGTCACATGGTCCGCTTATTCATTGAATATACCGTATTTATGCATCTGCAAACGAGCATCATACTGCACGTAGGTGTATAAATATACACAAGATATGATAAAAGAAAACGAGGATTGATTGAAACGTTGATTAAAATACGTGACCGAGCAACAGCAGTTCATTTGCGTGATACATCGAGCCGAGCCCGTATATATGTTACGATTTGTCGCTCCGATTCTATTTTTGTACATCAACGTCGCACGGTATTTTTACGGTATACAATCAAAATGAAAATAACAATTGAGTATACTTAACATAATATATACAACAACTCGATCGTGGGAAACTTTTGGTAACTCGATAACCACGCACGTACCATATCCCACATCACGGGTAAGCATACACGGAGGGCGATCGGGAGGAGTTCAGCAGAGTAAGCTTTCGATTCCTAAGGGGCTATAAACATACACGTACGGATACACATAGTTTATTTGGCCGTCGAAAGTTTCAACAGTTAATCGACCCGCTAAGTATACCCATAGCTTCGAAATCATGCTTATGTACTTTCATGCATATATAGCGTATACATATTCACGCTGCACGTGCTTTTTATAATAATATGTTAACATGCAGCGATACAAGTACAATTTGTCGGACTCGGCTATAGTTTTACAAATCGGAAATGTGAGAATAGAGTATTAGAGCGCACGTCGGCCGATTCCGAAAAAGCTCGTTATCACGGCCACTACGAAAATAAGCGAAATCTCCGATCGGGCCTCTCGCGCCCACGAGATATGTAAGTAAATCTCAGTTTGGTCGCGCGTTCGCGCGTAACATCTGTTGGCAGCCTCTGGTACAGGGGTACGTTTACATAGAGGAGCTTGCAGCGATTTGTGGGAGGCGTTCATACGTAGATACAGGTATACACGTCGGCCAACACGTGCGAGCTGCAACAATGGAAAGTTACGGATTGCATTCTGTACGTGTAGATACGTGTACGTGTATATCTATTCGTATAACGATACCTCCACCCCACCCCCCTCGTCACAGCCATTATGCGCCCATCTCATTGTTGCTCGCGAAGCAAAGGGAAGGCACGGGTGTACCCCAGTAGGGGTATACATATGCATACAATCGGCATGACATGTATACCTGTACCATCTATACGTAGCTACTTCGGAGTTTTGTTTCTATATGTATACGTCTGAAATCGATATGAACCCTGCATCCAGCTTCTCATCCCGAGCCTTTCTTTGGGATTACTCCCCTCTCCCTTTCTCGCTCTTGTTTACTCTTCCTTTTTTTTTTTTTTTTTTTCCTTTTCTCTTTGTTTACTATATGTTTTATTTATCATGAACGTCAACAAAACGTACAAGTGGTCGAGCATTACTTGGAGTAATACGCGAAGAAGGGTTCATTCACCAACACCGTGTAAAACTTTTTTTACTTATTTAGAAAAAAAAAAAAAAAAAAGTACGTTATTTTTTTTTCACCCGTTAATAGTATACACCTTGGTGAATCGAATGCATATTTTAATGCGCGGCTAATGAAAAAAGGTAAAATCAGCTATCAGTCCCTCTGCTAATGAATAATTCAGAGGTGAGCAAACGAGCCAAGCTCAATTATTTCATTGGTGCGCGTGTGTATGCCATTATACATTCACCCCGTGAATAAAGTTCAAGGGTTCCCCGTCTACTTGAAAAATTTTTAATTTGTCGCCAAAAAATAATGTACAAACTCGAGATCCAAGAACCTGCACTCCTATGTATACGTTAATCACATTTAAAGCTTGAACGACACAATATCGTGTAAATCATTTTAAAAACTAGTCGAATACTGTCCTCAAGGGATATACATAGTGTTGTTCAAACTACATAATTTTATCAGATATTGTTGATTATTTTTTTTCAAAGTTTTCAACTCGGTCTTATTGTGATTCGCTTTTTTATTTAATCATAGAATTTATTGTCTTTTATTATATCAATGAATTCAACACGCAATATTATTTTGATTAAAATAGTATTATATAGCAACATTTATATAAAAATGAAAATTTCGAGGAAATTTTGCATTTATAATAGTTTTTTAAGTCTATTTTTACCCTGACTTTTAATTAGACGGCTAAAACCATTTTATTAAAAAAAATAAAAAGTGTTTTGCAGTTCAAAATTGGTTTCAATTGCACTTTTAAAAAGCTTTGGATCCCTTGAATCAAATTACCAAAAAAAAAAAAAAAAAAAATTCCCACATGATTAACACATGATTCACAAAACATTCAATAATGATTAAAAAAAAAATTGAATCATTCGTCATACAAGTTATGAAGTTTACGTAAGCTATCGATTAATTTTTGAAAGTGTAACTTTTTAGTATCATGAGTAAATAAAATACGCTCCTACTTCCAAGGTTTTTTCTAAGAATCATCTCAGAATTCAATTTTATTTATACAATACACCCAAAGGGGGGGGGGGTCACTTCACGCAATATGCAAACCACTCGAAAATGCACACGGCACGTATATAGGGGTATAGATATAAATGATTCAGATGCGGCGCATGTATAATGGACGAGTCGCCGGAAGATTTTAAATCTCTAATGGATTTGCGAGCAAATTATTTGTCCGGGCTTCAACCGGATGTTTAATCGGCAATCATCCCGCGGAATTTGGACGTACGAGTGCTCGGGAGAGCTTTTCGCGGTGCACCGGATTTTCGGGGTAATTAATACCCAGTGGGTGGGTTGCGACCAAAAACGCTTTAATGTTTTAATTTCTCGCGGTGGAATTCAAGACGTTTACGGGGGACGAGGAAAGGCACGCTAATATTCTTTAACGGCCGCGTATTTTCCATTTGACGCCAAAATGCAGATGTACGCGTGTACGCGCGAGCGCAAAATTAAACATTCCGAGTGCGCGCCGGGACGAGCTCGAGAAAACTTTTTTCTTTTCTTTTTCTTTTATAAATTTTTGCACAATAGTGGTACCGGTTGTACTATGCTGTCGAAAAAAAAAAAAAAAGAAGAGGCAGTGCGAATATTCGCGAGCGTCTTTTCAGTGATTCCGTTAACACTTGCACGTACATGTATACAAAACATATATATATGTGCGCGTTGTGCTAGTTTTGCGGGGCATGAAGATGCATCGGGAAGATTGAATGGATATTATCCGTATCGAGGCTGCATTGTGCAGTGCCCGAGAAAGGAAAGAAAGGAAAGTCCGGCATTGTTCTTCTATCTTGCATCGAGCGAGGAAACCTCTGCTCGAGGAAAAAAAAAAGAAAAAAAAAAAAAAATGTGTCATAGGCGACCAAAAATACATCGTGGCTCATTTTGCAAAAGCTCATACATTCCTCGCAAAGCGCATTCTCGATCGATTAGATGAGATTTAAAAACCATCCAAAATCTTATACACAAAGTGTGTGTTTGCCATATAGTATCCGCTTTTGTAAATGTTTGGGACGGAAAGATGAGCGAGAGAAGAGGAAGGCCCTTGAAAGCTCGTGTGTTCGCACTCCAATCGACTATTACCGATCGACCGAACCCTTTGCGAATTCAGGTATCTATATTTATTTCACTGTAACGTATACACATGTATGTGAATGCACGTGTATAACTTTGCACATCCCCCCCTTCCTAATAACAAAAACACTCAAGTCCCGAGTTCCCGAGATAACCGTCCAACTCGCCGAGGACGCAGGTAGGTATACGGGGCAAGGAAGGGAGGAGGGACGCGCGCAATGATTATTATTACCCCCCTACATCGGCGCGCAAATAATGCATCGACTGACCTTCTTCTCCCTCGGTCTCCTTCTTCCGTATGTATATGCTGTTGTATCTCTCGGATCGGAACCAGAGTTGGCCCGAGCGATGCCCGTCTTTGTTTATCGAGGCCTCTCTGCTCGGCGATTATAACCGTTGCTCACGGTCTTCGGCGTGTCTTCCGTCGTGCTCGGCGCGTCCTTGGCCTCGAGGACTCCTGCATGCTGGGCAACTCGACTCCCCCCCCCCCCAACCACCGATGTACACTAGCCGCTTCACTCTCGATTTTATTACAACCACCTGCGTATCTCTAGCTGCATGAGAGTATTTCACTGCTGTCGTTCGCTTCTGGCTCCATTGCAGCTGCCAACGACGACGAGCTACCTCGTTGACGTACCTCGCTCGAGCCTGCCATCCTCGGGGACTCTTATACTCTGGTGCACCAGCAGCTCCACGCAAGGATCCTCTTCACCTCGAGCTGTCGTGTCATACGCGTCTCCGATCGCTCGTGGTCCACATTACGTATAGATGCTGGATGACGGGGGAAAAACAAAAATAATCACTGAGCGATAATTACGTACAAACTGTATAAATACACGCGTGTGTGTTGTCGTTCTCTCTATCAGCTTTACACCGATGCACTGGCACAATCGTGTCGTTAAATGCATTGAACTTCATACTATATATACCCCATCATCGATAATTCAGGATATTTTAATGTAATGGATCATCATGCCGTTGCACTTGGACGTATACTAGCGATGAAAACGCGCACTCGCGGCAAATGTACGGTGAAAACAAAAACAAACATAAACAAAGAAGAAAAATGCACTTTACGAATCGGTAAACTAAAAAAATGATGTGTCAACCGAGCCGATCTGGAGCACACCTCTCGAGCGCGTCTCGCAATACCGATCGCGGTCGCAATTCAGAATAATAAACTCGAGCACCTTTTCTTTTCTTTTTTTTTTTTTTCCTTCCCGCAATACAAGTAACTCGCACTGCACATGCACTGTATATGTGTAGGTACAAGGAAATGAAAAATATTCCACTCGCGATCTTTTTTTTTAAGCAACCTCTGCGCTGAGCCTTCGTTCTATACTCCGTGGCAACGCACCCCCTACAATTTATATTTATATATTTTTTTTTTAAATGATTTAAAACACAAGTTTGGACTCTTTTTTTTCCCCCGGTGTTAAGTGCACTCGAGACAATGGCAAGGTATGGGAGATACAAGTCAGATGTATAATCACAATAATAACACGTGCTCGCGGCACAGAGTCGCGCGCTCCACTGAGCGGTTCTCTTTCTCTCTTTGGACGAGGCGCTCGGCGACGGCGGCGGCGGTGCCTCCAGGTCGCGCAGCGCAAAAGCGAGAACGAGCCACCAGCTAGCTACACGATATACATATGTATATCGTATACATAGATACGGGGTGTATGTACATGGCGTGGAATTGAAAGCTTGCGCCGACCCCCTCTGGTGCCAGGGGCTGGAGCCGTATACCTACGTCTCTAACGTCTCTGTTCCCTGCAATCGCTACCACTTTTTCCCCCCATGCCACCTGCGGGCTTGCTCCTACTCACACATACATATTGATACACGTATTAAAAAGAGCTACGCACGTGTAGTATTGGTTGAGTGTGTCTGCAGATGTGCCAGCCTGCAAGCGCGCGCATTTTTCCTGCAGGGTTCGGGTTCAGGGTGCCCTTCTTGTATATATTATAATGTGTACATGCCCACCACCTTACCTGGGTAGTGGGTATATACATATACTGTATATTTTTGTTCTTGGGTATGATTAAGTTAACACGTATATCATGTCCCTGCACCCGGTCGCAGACGCAACAGATGGACCAACTTAGCTTGGAGCTTTCGGAGCTTTTTTTTTTTGGTGGTGCGCTTACTTCGTTGTGTATAAATTTTATACCGTCCCGATGGAACTTCGTGTGACTACATTCAGCTCGAGCTGGTGAAAGAAAATGTGGCTGATTCTTTGTGAAAGACATTGCCGCGACTTTGAGAGCTGCACGGATGTACACCTGCGGGAAGGGTCTTTTTTTCCAAAGATTTTTTTTTCAAGCAAGCGTATATACATGGTGGTCCTGGACCGGTTTCGTACAATTTTGTGGGGACGCGCATTTTCGCATCGAACCTCATTTGATTCTTCTCCTCGACCCATTGATTTTCCATCGATGATCACAAAATGCATTCATGCAGTATATACATAAAATAAATACGCATCAAACACACCGCGACCAGTAATATATCAAAATCTTACATGGAAATGTATAATTGTTCGAATTCATGATATATACTTACTTTTTTTTCAAGGTAATCCATTTACCGTCGACTAAATTTCAGTTGCACAAAAAAAAAAGTTTCGCTTACAATCGTCGACATACATGTAACTTCATGGGTGGATATACTTGTAGTTTACATTTTTTTGATTGATATTACCAAACAATGAGGCCTTCAACTACCACGCAATAGCTTTCTTAAAAAAGCTTTCATATATCTGCGAATCCGTGATCTAAACCACATCTAAACATGTAACTGACGGTAATGTTTACCTTGTGAGCGTATTTCTTGCTCCAAAAACGTTTAGTTCCTCTGTGGAGCGCTGCGATCACTCTGCACTGTATATATATATATATTTGGCAATCAGCTGATGACAGACGGCTCGATGTGTGTTCATTTTTCGAGGATCGGAAGCACGTGGACCGCCTGCGTGTACGCGCCGATAACCTCGTTAGGCGTTTAATCTTATTAATAATAGTAACGCGAGTGATATTTTTTTACCGGGGACTGATTGTTTTAACGGGTCATCATGTCGGCCCTATACAATTTCAAGAAGATCGCCGTCGTGCCCACGGCTAAGGTAAGTCTTGCAGATGCAACGTTAGAGGTTAAGTCGTTGCTCAACCTGTACGTTTTTATCCTCTGTTTCGATGTAAACATACTTTATGAAGTATCTTGGCTGATTGACAAGTTTTTCGTTTGTATCTCTATCTTTTCAAAATAATTTCTTTTTTTAAATTTTATCCAGGAATTCATCGACATAACGCTGTCGAAAACTCAGCGCAAAACGCCCACCGTCATTCACAAACAGTACGCGATATCGAGGATACGTTCGTTTTACGTACGAAAAGTCAAGTTCGCCCAGCAAACCTTCCACGATCGTCTCAGCCAGATAATCCAAGAGTTTCCCAAACTCGATGACGTGCATCCCTTTTATGCCGACCTGATGAACGTTTTGTATGACAAGGATCATTACAAATTGGCTTTGGGTCAAATTAACACTGCCAGACACTTGATCGACAAGTATGTTGATTTTTTTTTTTTTTTTTTTTCACGACTACACGTTTCTCTTCCACAATTATTAATTTAAAGCTTGTTCTAGTGTTGCAAAAGATTACGTTCGACAGATGAAGTTTGGAGATTCCCTTTATCGCTGCAAGTGTTTGAAGAAAGCGGCACTTGGTCGCATGGCCACTATTATGAAAAGACAAGCCACGAATTTGACCTATTTGGAGCAAGTACGTCAGCACTTGGCTAGATTGCCCAGCATTGATCCTTACACGAGAACTATCATCATTTGTGGTTTTCCAAATGTCGGAAAAAGTAGTTTTATCAATAAAGTAAGAGAAAAGAAAAATACACTCTTCTTGCTCGAACTTTGGGATTCATTATTTTTAACATTGTTTATTTTCAGATCACAAGAGCCGATGTTGAAGTGCAGCCTTATGCGTTTACTACTAAATCACTCTATGTGGGTCACACGGATTACAGATACTTGAGGTGGCAAGTGATCGACACACCTGGAATTTTAGATCATCCCTTGGAAGAAAGGAACGTCATTGAAATGCAAGCTGTTACTGCTCTTGCACATTTAAGGGCTTGTGTGTTGTACTTCTTTGACATTTCAGAACAGTGTGGACATTCTTTGGAAGAACAGGTATGAGACGATTTTTATGTCTCCCTAATAATAGGAACGATGATGATTGTTGTGTAACTGAATAATGAATTTTTAGATGAGACTGTTCAAATCGATCAAGCCTCTATTCACAAACAAACCATTAGTAATTGTTGTCAACAAAGTCGATGTTTTACGTATGGAAGAGCTTTCGGAAGAAAAAAGAAGCACATTAAAGGAAATTGAAGATGATGAGAATATACCAGTCATTGAAATGAGCACGGTTACAGATTTCGGTGTGATGGAAGTAAAAACTACAGCTTGTGAAAAGTTACTGGACTTTAGGGTTGATCAAAAGTTCAAAACAAAGAAGGTGAAACAATCATTTATTGTGCATTTTCATTCTAATAGTCAAATTCGTTGAATATTTATTTTTCATCCTTAGGTTGATGCTATTTTGAATCGTTTGCACGTGGCTATGCCAAAAGTCAAAGACAGCAAAGCTCGTCCACCTTGTATACCTGAAGCTGTATTGAAAAAAAAAGCACTGAATGCCGCAAAGGCTGAGAGAAAGAAAAAGTTGGAGCGTGAAATCGAACTTGAACAAGGCGACGATTACGTTCTAGATCTTAAAAAGAATTACGACATTGAAGGAGATCAGAAGTTTGATATTATTCCGGAAATTTGGGAGGGTCACAATATTGCCGACTATGTTGATCCTGATATTTTAGAGGTAAGACTAGTCTTATATAAGTTATTTTAACAGTTATAGTACAGAAAAAAAAAAAAAAAACAAATTTCTGTCGAAAATTTTCAGAAATTAAATGCTCTGGAAGAGGAAGAAGATGAAAAGATTACAAGTGGTTGGTATGATAATCAAATGGAACCATTGACCGAACTTCAGAAAGAGATCCAAGCTTTAGCTAAACAGATTCGCGAAAAGAAAGCTATTATGAAAGAAGAATCATTAGTAAATAAACAGTCAACAAAACCGGTTGTACCTCGCACAGCACCGGCCAAAGCTCGTAGTCGTTCGGTAACAAGACTTAGAAAAGAAATGGAGAACTTGGGCGTAGATATGGAAGATACAGAAAACGTAAATAAACGCCATTTTATCTCAACTTCAATTAATATAGTGCATATGATTACTTAATGTTTAAACAAAAATTTAGGCTCACTTCACGCAAACGAAGAAACGCAGCAGATCGGTGTCAATGAGCGTTGATCGTAAGAAACAACGTCTAGAGTCGACATCCAGAACACGCAGTGTTTCAAGACCACCCAGAGACGAGATGGGCGTAAAGGATCTAAAGGTATAATATTTTTCACAATAGTATTAATTGGTACAATGAGAAAAAAAATGATAAGCACTTAAAATAATGCATTTTTTTCAATTTTAGATGAAGAAAAAGTTGAAGAACATAGCGCATAGGGCGATAGCTAAGAAGGTCGGCAAGATGGGTCTTAAGGGTGAAGGAGACAGGTTTATTGGAAACAAAATGCCAAAACACTTGTTCAGTGGAACTCGTGGTATTGGTAAAACAGATAGAAGATGATTCATAAATTTTCTTAAGTTGTATAAATATAACTTCTCGAGCAAGGAAAAATTAATAAAAAGCATTCTACAAAATATTATTTAGTCAAATTTATATTCAACACAACTACCATTACAAGTTTACAGATATTTATGTTTCCACATAGCAAATAAAAAAATTGGTCTCAAATTTCATGTAAAAAAACTAGTTTTTGCTAAAAATATTTTTGGATTTCAACTCACTTAATTACTATAATAAATAAAATCACTGTTAATGTGTTATTGAAAATCAATCAATCAGATTGACTCGTTTCAAGAGCGCTCAAGTTACATCCCTTCTTCCTATTTTTCATGTGAGCTTCAAAAATCTTTAAAAATTCTTGACGATCAAGTTGTGTATATGCAATGTTCAACATCGCCAATGCAGCATTTTGGACATGAGTACTTCCAGAACTTAGAAGATTGTGTCCTAATTCCAAACAAGTACCAAAATCACACTCGTCACCAGCGATTGTAGCAAGTCTCACGACATCTGCGAGTTCTGAGCGTGCTTCTTCTCTTTTTGCATCACCCTTTGCGTCATTAATTTTTTTTATTATTTTGAGCAGGTCATCTGTAAAGTTTATAGAAACATTGTACACCAATTACGACACTTATCAAAAACAATCAATAATTTTAGTACTTACTATCAGAAACGGATAATTCCCTATATCCAACTTGTGATTTTTTGTTATATGGGCAGACTATGCCTGCTCCATGAATCGTTCTAGTAACAACATTCTTTTCTCTTGATCTCATTCTTGTGGACTGAATGTCTAAGTTTATATTGTGTTTTTTAGTGTAAGCTTTTAATTTTGCGATAAGATTGGTAAAGCCTGTTTTTTCAAATGGATTAGCTTTTTTCAACCTTGCTTCTAAATAGGCTCTGCAAAAATATTTTAAAAACATTAAAAATCACAACTTCCTTTGATAGAAGACACTTATGTAGCCGAGTTAACTCACACAATAGCACCAAAAATGTTTTCTGCATAAGGTTTAATTTTGTGACTGACTTCGGAAGAATTTAGTGCCACGAAAATAGGATCAGAACTTGGTCTGTCTCTCCAGTATCCAAAATGCAAGCCTTCCTTATCGTTCCCTTTGATGGTAGTCTGAAAAAGCAAAAAAAAAATTTGTTATTACCAAACCTTATACTTATTTGATAACCATTGTGGATAGATAAGGTAGTAGCTAATGACCTGAAATTCTGGAGGATCATAGTAGTACCTCCAGTGAGTGAGTAACTGAGTACTATTGGCGTTTTCTTGAGTTATCAGACCATTTAGGATATCATACGGACCCACGAGTTTTAGATCTGCTACCTTTAAGGCATTAGACGGATCACTGGGATTCAATTCGCTACAGAAATCGTACATCTTGTAAAAGTCATTTGGCATAGAGACCAGGAACACTTTTTGGATCAACTTTTTAGCCTCTTCATAGGAATCAACGGGCACAATCTTCTTGTCATCCACTTTCTCGTCAGACTGAACTTTGATATCGTTATCCTGAGGCTCTGCGGATGAAATTTCTTCATTCGAATCAGATGTATTTTGTTTCTTGGCCACCGGAGACTGATCCTCCTTATCACCGTTGTCCATTGACATCTTCCTTTTGTTGTGGCCATTGCTGTTATCGCCATTGCTTGCACCGTTGTTCTCGATACTATCCTTTTCCTGTTCCTAAAAACAATGACAACAATAAATAAAGTATTAAATATTTCTTTTACCAGGTCAATACTTGTAAAACGTTTGAAGGTTAGATTGAAAAAAAAAACGTGTGAGGTCTCGCATGATGCACACACACTCACCTCTTTGGAGGGATGCTTGTATCTTCTGCGATGTTCCGGATTCTTTTGATAGCACTTATCGCCGTACTTACAATTAACGCGATTGTCCTCGGGCTCGATACTTTGCTCCTGCATATTTTCCTTCTTTTCGTCCAGATCCATTTTTACGCTTGACTTTTGAAATCAAATCTACACCACACCTTCGAGGTGGCCGAAAATTATTTGTAGATAAACCCCTGAGAGTACTACAACCCACCTGTCCTCTTTACACTAGGTAAGTAGGTAGTATGTGATTTTAATAAGTACTTTTACTCGGAAGATTTTGTTGCCGAATGCCGCGTGTGAAAGGGAGAGTGTGATATACAAAGGTTGGGTTGGGACTGTTGGGTGGTGTGTTGCGGATTGCGGGAGAAAGAGAGACACAAGGATGCTGGGTGGGCTATTGTTTTGAATCTTAATACAAAATATTAGTAATAACTCGGGTCCTTCAAACAACAAAAATTAAGATTTTTGGCTGAAGTGGAATTGACTTTTTGTATGTTGTTGATATTTCCCTGGGGTTAAAAAAAAATAAAAGAAAAAAATAAATATAACATTGGTCCGAGAATCAAAAGTGGCTTTCCGAAAACCTATATTCAACAATTTATTAAATGGGTGTACAATTTATTAAAATTTTTTACACATTTTTCCTATAAAAGTACTTCCTTCCTACTAAAGACGATTCAAGTCGACTCCCAATCGGCTCGGTAGATTCGGTCGATCGAAAATATGATTCGACTTTATAAATATGTACTGCTTTTTGTATGATTCTATATTTTTAATTGATTTCCATCGGATCAAAAATGTTTATTTACCATTTATCTCAATCGATTTTTCCTACCTTTATTGAATAATCGATTTGAAAAAGCCGTTTTTTTTCACAATTCGTTATATTCAATAGCAATTTTTACTAACAATTTTTTTAATTTGATTTTTTACGAATATTTATATATATACATTTATCAGATATACCGATCACGGCTCAGTGTATAGTTTTTCTCTGTACTTTTGTAGTTTTTATGTATTACCCTAATTCAATTATATACAATATGCTTACACTATTGAGTATTGAGTAATCTCCTTCTGTAGTGGTACGTATAATACTGTAATCGATTACTTTTTTACGATTTCACGTCCGAGCGATTAAAAACAATGCGTTTTTATTTAATGTCAAAACCTGTTAAAAAAAATTTTCGTTTCAAAAAATTTATTCTCGTAATAACAATAAAACCGAAAAAGATTCCTTGACGTCAAACACGATTGACTAAAATGCGATACTCCACTGAGATGATCTGCTTGCAGCGAAAGACCACGTAATAATTGCTTGGGTACCAAGTGTTTTATTTATTGCTACCCTAAATTTGAGTACATGACATTATGGTTTGGACCTGTCGGATTTATGTCGGGTCTCATCAACAAATAAAAATTAAACTAAAACATCAGATCCGGTTGGAATTGAAGCAACAATTGTCGAAAACGCTTGAAACTTTGACCTGAAGTTGTCGAGTTCACATCGAACCGAACAGGAGTGAGTACTCACACATGATCGCAAACAAGCAAAATGCAACATTTTAGCTTTTTTTTCCGATTTTATCTCGAAACAACGATTAAGACAAAAATGCTTCGTTGTAAATTCCGTGGAATAACCAGGTTTGTTTTTCAATTCTAATTACCTGTTTGTGCGCTATAAATGTATTTGTAGACGAGAGCTTTGCTAATCAGCGATTGCACGTGTACCTATAGTTAATCATATCGAAGTAGGTGAAGGAAAATTTTTCTCAAGGCATAAGTGTATACATAATAATATCAACAGATGATTGAAGTTCGGAGTTGATTTTTCAATTTCGAATTGCGTAGGAATGAAATAAAAGTCAGGGTTATTTTTTTAACTTGTGTTTTATTAATACATTATTTTACACACAACGTGCCAAAAAGGTTTTGAAAAATATATGAAANCGATTAAGGTGAAATATTTTAACACATTACACGATTTTATCGCAAAAAGCGTAAGCTGTTCAACGCCATATTTTGTATATCTTTTTTGTTACAACATTGAATTGACGCGAAAATCGGTCATAAGATTTTAGGTCAGCCCAAAATGTCAATAACTATCATATAATTTTGTAAAATATTTCACAAGATTAATTGACATAATAAGCATGTTCGATAAAATATACTATGCAATGTTTTTACATGGCTTACACATCATATCGCGGTAAGCCCAATAATTTATGAAATTTATTAATCCCTTTATCCTCGATAAATCAATTTCAAGGTATTTCGAAAATCAGCTCATTACCGAAAATATACGTCAGTTTGCCAAGGTCGCAAGAGCCTATTTTAGATAATGCCGTACATGCACGATAGTGTGATTTAAAATTCATGTACCAATATTAAATTTCTCAGCAATAATTACAGATCTACATGGTAAGGGCCAGCTCTTTGGTTGGCCTTCCATAAATTAAACCCCTTCTCTCTCTCATACAACGTGTTTTGAAATCGGTGGGAGTGTGTACATGTAACAGCAAGCCTCTCGTTATATAAAAGCAATTTGCAAGGGGAAAAATAACAAATCGATTCCTCAAGAGCTTGTTCTTCTTTTCTTATTTATATAGTCTCATAATGGTAAAAATAACAAGGGCCTCAATACTCACAATGATCGGCAGTTCCCACGATCAGTATTATGTGTACTTGCGAATCTTTACATATTTTTATATTCGTCATCGTAAGGATTGAGTATCTTCAAGTGCTTTTCTGTCAATGACCCTTGTGTCGTGGAATGAAAAACAGAAAAAATTGGATTATTTTTCATAAAAAATACCATTACCCATCTACAGTGAATGCTCGGACAAAGTGTTGCCACGTAATTTTATTTCACAAGAATAAATCACGAAAACACTTTAGATTTAGTTTCTTTTTTTTCAACTCGAAATTAGTATCTCAAATTTTTTACGGCTAAAAAGTAAAGTCATTGGGTATTGTTTATTTAAAGATTTCTTGAAGGTGGACGAAACACCGACGTCGATGTATTTATCAGTCGACACATCATCATTTCAGTCACGAGAATGACATTACACTTTTTTGTTATGATTGTCTCAAAAAAAAAAAGTCCCTTCATATCGGGAATGTGAAGTAACGATTTGAAATTCATTTAGTACAAGTAATGTTGACTAGAGTAAAGGTTGAGTTATACCGAAACGACAGTGCGAACGGATTACATTGCAAATTGTTTCAAGGTTCATTGGCACAAACCGGTTAGTTTTAACAGGCAAACAAGAAAAAACCATCGAAAAAGCCCAACTATGGTTCCAAAAAAAAACAAAAAAAAATAGAAAAGAAGAAAAACTTGAAAAATTAATCAAACTTTGATAGGCTGTAGGAATTGTATACGTTCGCAATCGAAAATGCAGCTCCGTGAGTCAATTATACTACGCACTTGTATAAAACTGCACTTGTCAAAATACATGCACATGTGTTTATATCAGCACCATAAAAGTATATCTACGTATATGTATATATATCCTCTCTGGCATAAAAAATAACATCCTTGTACAAGTACCTTGGATCACGCGTATATGTATAATATATTTACGTAAAAATAAACCAGTTTACTTTTGCTTTCTTTACAAACGCCACAAAAGCCAGTGATTTGCACGCACACCCACGATAACTCCCTTGTTCGAGGGAATTAAATTTTAGAATGATATGTAACAATTTCCATAGTGAAAGTTTTTGTTAGTTGTTTTTTTTATATTGTTTTGTTTAATCCTTGTTTCGTTATATTACGCGGTGTCATGGAATGTTACATCGCTAGCGTTATTCATACTAGAGTAGGAAGTGGAGGCCTGTGGGTTGTTATTGCTGTGGAGCAAAGGCGCGACCGAGTTGTCAATAGCTCGTCTATCGACAGTTGTCGTCGCTGTAGGCTCATCGTCTTCGATGTGCTGCGGCTCGGGTTCCTCCTCCTCCTCCTCTTGTCTCGGATGCTCGAGTTGTTCGATTCGCCGTCTACGTCGGCTTGACATCACGTCTGCAACGAGTAGCGAAAACATGCCGAATTTTACAATGAGAAAGAGCATACACCAAGCCAACGATTAATTTCTTTCGAGCATTAGTGGAATTAAGTAAGCCAACTTGTACATTAAGTACGCATATTTTTCAAAAGTACAAGCATCAAGATGTTTTTTTTTTTTTTTCCAACACATTACACGCGTTAAATGGAAATCTTACAAGATCGCATTTGAGTCCGTGAGAAACTTTGATGGACTCAAACGCGGCCATATGGTATTGTTAGATTGTTCATCTCATCGCATCGTTCAGTCAGTTTCGTTTTGAAAAAGCTTTACTTAGTTTTCGACCAAAAGCTCTTAGTGCCCACCTACCTTCCATTAAAAAAAAAAAAAAAAAAAAGCTAACGAACCACAAGAGAACACGATACAGAAAGTACTTTAGAGCATGATTTTTTCAAAAATATTTTTGTGCTACTACAGTTGAAAGAGAAAATTATTTTACCACAGGCATATTTGTTATGTAGCTACCATACTACCCACAACAAAGAAGAAAACAAAAGAAATGCAGTTGCGAGCAAATTAAAATTTAAACAGGAAAATAAAAAAAAAGTTGCAAAATAAATTGATAAAGCATAAATACACAGGATTGTTTATTTTATACATGTACATATGTTTTTATTATTTTCGTTGTACTCTGTACGTAGTTGATACAAAAATATAAATAAATCTAGTACAATCATTTGGACGGAGAGTTATGGTTTAGATGACAAACATTTTTGTTAAGTAAACAAATTTTGCATGTAGGGCTCGTTTGAGAAAAACAAAATAAAAAATTTCAGTCTAGCGCATTGTTCTACAAAATAAGCGTGACGAGCACACAACGAGCACTAAAAATAACACTCGATAAATAATAGCAGTCTCCTTAAATAAACTATGGCCATAACATTACAAGTGAACCAAGTACCGTAAAAAAAAAATCAACCTTTGCTAATTTGATAGTTCTTCTAAGCGCAAAATATACAAAATAATACAAAAAAATTAAAAAAGAGTAACACTATTGATACAGGGATGAAACAAAAATCACATATGTCTTTTTAAAATACGCAAGCATGCTAATGCTTGGCTTTTTCAAAAGGAGCCCAACGTCGGATAAAACGTAGGTACCCCAAGTGTCTATTTCACTCATCTGCAAGTATTCGGAAGGTAGGTGTGATAATTGTAGGTATGGGAGGAGATTTGGGTTTGCTTACACGCTGATTTAGCGATGTCTCTTGCACGTTGTCCAAATTTCCACGCATTGCTCTCTTGTGATTAGCCAACTTCTCCCTGTTCATGGGCGAGCCTAAAATAATCGCGAGAGTGGATGTCGTATGATTCGATAAACAATATTTTCATATTCATCCTTTTTTGTGCAAACACTACCCATTACATTTTTTGAATCATTACTTTACACGAGAAAAGAAAAAAAAAAAAAAAAAAAAAAAATTTATTTTTCAACTTTGGGAGAATGTGACATGTGATTTTTTAATTTGTTACAATTGCAAATTAAAAAAAAATAATAATCATAAATATTAAATGTATTCTCTTGTACAAACGTTACTAAGATTTAAAATTTTTTAGTGCAAAGAAGAAATTTTGGGACTTACCTATGTAACTCAGAAGAACAGGTAAGAATATGAGACCGTGAGCTGCTCCAAAAAGTACTATTCCTAAATACATCCTAAAGTAAAATACCTGAACAAAGGAAAAAAAAATCGTTATAATTCATTTTGGGATGAAAATTCAAAACAGAGAAATAATTTATCGTATTTACTTTGAAAATTTGATTTTTTGCGAAGCCAAGCACAATAATACCACCGAATTTGGTCAGTGTGATTCCACTGAATATCGAACTTCCCATGTTTGCCAAAGCATCACCGACTCTTTCAACTCTTGTCGGTTGCACGGAGACCGCAAACGAGTGTACCAAGTGACTACAAAACTCTACGGAAATTCCCACTGCCTGAAATCGAAAAATCATCACTATAGCACACTTTCTTGCATTATTCTTGTTTTTTTACTTTTGTTACGCACCATAACGAGGTTCACCAAAGACACAGCATTAAGTGTTATATGCCACCAGTACATTAGTCCTCCGATATTGATGATAATCATAGAAATTGTGATAATAACGACGATCGACGAGAATATGTCAAAGCCCATGAAGAAAAACGTGACGGCGAAAATCGCGAATATCGATATGCCGATGCTCTTGAGAGTGTCGGGCCACATCGTTAAGTACTGTTCGTAAAAAACGTAGAAAACACTGTACGGAAAAACTTCGACTTGTTGGTCACCACTTTCGTAACCCCATTCGCGTAGATTTGTATTGATAGTCCGCGTTATGTTATCCGCAACAGTTCTCGCTTGCCTCATCGCCTCGTAGTAATCATACGAGGTTTTGAGAATCGTGTGGTAAGCCATAAAATTGGAGGCCCCGACTTTCGATCGCCGGGAGCTTGAATTTGTGTAGTAGTTTACGCTGTGACTGTAGCTTGCGTGGCCACCCTTGGTACAAGCGGCGTCCGGATTGTCTTGCAGGAAAAAAGACACGTATCTCTCAAATTCGCTCACATTTGGACGGTTGTATTCATTAAGACTTATTTTGCACGTCGCACATTCATCTTCGTAACCTAAAATAAAAATTTCATGATAAACAATCGATTAAAAAAAAGTGTGTTTTGATGCGTAAAATGCGATAACGTACTTGTGTGAGGACAAAACGATCCATCCGTCTCGTTATATTTACAACAAGACTCGGCTAGGTTTGTCCAATCGAAATAATCATCCAGCCAGGAAAATACGGGCTTTGTGACGAACGTTCTAAAAAATGTATGAATGACAAATTTTGTTAAATTAAATGAAAATTCATCCTTTGAAAAGCATAATCTTACCTGTCTGACTGTTTTGAAGCAGAGAAAATCTGAGAAGGGACTGAATCAGGGTGGCAATATTGTGCGCTGCATAATAAATTCTGCACCCTCAGGTCTGAGTAGTTTAAGCCTTGTTTGACAACAAAATACACTGGCGGGCCGATCGATAAATATGTATTCAAATATTTGAAGTATTTTAAAACGTAACTGTCCTCGGGCATGGATAGCTCTTGGTCGAGACCGATCTCCACGTGCGGTATGACAGCCAAACTAGTACACAGCCATCCAAAGAAGACCACTATCACTCCAGCTCGTACCCACTTTTTCATCAAAAGTGGAACATAGGCAGCCTTGAAAATTTTATACAAAACACCGTCGATCACCTCTTCGTTGTTATCCTTTTTCGAAGTTTGTATGAAACAGAATATGTCTAATCTATTTTCCTGAAATTCAAAATAATACTCCATATAACGTCCAATAATAATCAGTGCACATATACATATATGTTATCGTGAAATTAAATTTGATGAGCTTACGGCTTGTCTGATGGTATCCAGAGCAAGCAAACTAACGAAACACGTGATTTGCAGCACAAAGTCCACCAGTAAAGCCAAACCGGCGTACAGAGCAAACGCTTTGACAGCCGGCATGTCCGAGAGTCCACCAAGGAAAAAGCAGCAGCTCTCGGAGAGACTCGTAAGCAGTATGCTAGGCCCAACTTGGCCAAGTACGCGGCCAATGTGCTCGGGCACAGATTCGTTTGGTCGTTTAACTTCCCGCTGATGAGTTTGTACGAGAATGAATATGTTGTCAACACCGACGGCCAAGACGAGGAAGGGGATGACCTCGATGATGATGAGGGTTGCCGGCAGACCCACGAAGCTGAATATACCGATGGAGCACAGTACCGAAGCTAGCACGATCAACACACCGCCGAGACCCAGGGTGATTTTGGAATCCATCTGCAATAAAAAAGCGATGCTCAAGTTGGACAACAAAAAAAAGGAAACATTTTTTTTGAAATTCATTATTTTCTTACAAGAAGCGTGCCACAGGATTTTATCTGTCCGAGGGATATCGCTATGTAGGCGAACATGATGATGTAGGAGACCAAGATCGTCAGGACGTCGGACCGAGATTCCCGGTCTAGTTCGTCCTCGATGGATCTTTCCGACTTGAACGCAATGTCCATGTACGCCGGCTTTTTCGTGGCAATCCAGTTTTTCATGAAATCAACGTAGCTGAAAGATTCGTCGGTCATTAGCTTGTTACATTTTTTTTTTTTTTTTTTTTTTTTTCAAGAATATAATTTTTTGGTTTTGTTCGTTACCTTTGCTCCCACTCCATGGCCGGTACTAACTCGGACTTGTTGTGCTTGTTGTTGACGAGAATGGTGAGAATGATGGCTGTGGCGTTCTCATAAGGCAGCTTCTCGGGATTCTGTCCGGGCTGTATGAAACCACCGACGGCAATCGCCGGTTGAACGGGGCCTCCGTACTTGGCCAGACAGTTATAATTGAAGGGATTGCTTTTGGATGAAAAATCAACATTTGACACGAGTTGTACGAAAAAATGAATGAAATGAAAGAAGAAAAACTTTGTACTAACTGAGAACAAGCCGTAAAAGTATCGAGATAGTTGACGGTAAAGTTGTTGGCGTCCTTTGTGGACGATTCGAATTTTTCAAGGTTATCCTGATAGTAGCCCCAAATGCTCTGTATGGCACACTGTGAAGTGGTAACGGGTCCCGTGTAGGTGGCCGACAGAGGCGCGAAACAAATATCAGCGAGGGTGTAGTTGTTCGGGGTGATGATGGATTTGATGCCCTCCTGAAGTTCCAGTACAGTCTTTAGAAAGTCGACGTTGAACACTGGACCAAACGTAATTTTTCCGTTGGACGTGTTGTGCTCGATCTAAGTGATAAAAACCAAGGATGATTATTACTTTTGTTATTTCCCGCGCGTGTATAATATACCAATAAACACAACGTAAATGAGGTAATTACCGGTGGGAGGTTGATGGACGTGATGATGATCTGCTCGATCCTGTAAAACGGATCAAAGTGACTGTCGAAGTAATTTTTTTCGAGGCGCGATCTCGAATTCGGTGAGGCCCAAAGTTCGACCGGATCCGTGTTCACGTGCAGATCTTTGATCCCCAGAGTCGCGAGGACGATGAACATGAAGCCTCCAAACAGCACTGCCCGTGGCTGGCTCGCGCATACTAATGACATTCAATTTAATACAATAAAATACACCTCAAGCTACCGATTACTATTAATTTATGCCGGGGAAAAGAAAAATCGTAAAAGGGGGCTTCGGTCACACGTGTATACAGAGCACCGAGTTCAAATTTCACTATATCCATCGAACGAATCGTGGCACGCGCGTGTCAAACGAACAGTACAAGCCCACGTACAATCCGACAGATAACGATCATTGAAACGAATAATTATGGGTTCTGGTGTCTCTGACACACAGGGGACAGGACGTTTCGCGCGAACCCGAAAAACAGCTATATTTAATCGGCATTCGAGCTCTGTCCACATCACGCACGACTAGAAGGGTACACACACATTAACGGGACGTCAATTAAAATTCCGTCCACGCGCGGCCGGAGAAGAAGAAAATAAAGTAAAATTGTAAAAGCCAGAGCTTGGGCGATCTCTGCTCCGATGACTTGTATATCCTCGGGCACCGAAGGAAAACAGAGACGTTGAAAATAATGTTTTTTTTTTTTTTCTATACATTAAACACCCCAATCGGAACATTTCGCGATACGTGATGATTTTTCACGGCATTCGTCGTCTTTCGCGTGCACCGCGGCACACGATCAAGCGAGTATTATGGCGCTCGGTTGCGTTTTTTCCTCTCGATCGGACGTGTACGCGATATAGAGGTACTCATCGACAATTAAAATAGACACGCACGGCAGGCGAGGATAAATAAAATTGGCTGGCACGAAGCTGCGGGACTTACCGGTGCCCCAGCGGCAGAAAAAGTTCTGAAGGAACTTGTCGGTGTTGGCTCCGAGGCGCTCGATGAAGGTCGCGTGCTCGTCCTCCTGCTGCAGGTTCCTCGGCACCTCCTCGCCCGAGACCACACCTGTGACAAGGAAACACACATCCACAACGTGACGCATTGTTCATTCGTTTGTGTACACATTTGTATTGCCTGATTGTATACGCACCCCCCTCGTAGGAGACTATACAGTAAAGAGGATACGCGACTCTGATGGCACAAATGGCCACCTACAGCTATAGTCTCCCACGGGCGTTTCCGAACTCTCACATATACATATATATTATACGATACACAGGTGCAAAATAACGCTCAGAGAAAATATTACGAGCATGTTATACGTAATGTCGAGGCTCTTTTTACTTGTTATTTCAATCAGTTTCTTTGAGGTTTATACACATCCGAAAAATCGAATGTCACCACACACGCTTGCACACAACGAGTTACTACGATCATATACGCTTACACGTAAGCGCTTATCCAATCAAATAATTATCGTAAAGTTTGAAGTTTCATCGAGCTCCAGCTCAACTTTTCCCCTCTTTTTGCGTGTGCATTTTATTCCACGTATATACCTATCATGGGATGTTTGCGCGCGATTTTCTGCACGTGCGCCGAAAGTCAATGAATCTCCCAATGTGTATAAGGTAGGTATACATTTTAATCGTCCCAAATCACCTTGACGTCGGGTTTTTTTTTTTTTTTTTTTTTTTCTTTCTCCCTCGCGATAAACAAATATTACGCGTGGCTTTGTGCGGGACTAATTGTTATCTTTGAGGAATTTTCATTTACCTCGAAGCCCCGGAACACTGGTATTGAGTATACCGATAGATGTATACACGTAGGAGCTATTAAAAGACCCGAAGGTATACCTATGTGTACAAAATCACGTTTAACCGCACACACAAATGTCCCGCTAAAAATAAGCTTGACGGATCCTTGTGCGAGTATTCTTACGGTTCCGCTGGTGTAATAAAAATTGAATTTCCAACGCGCCTTGGACAATATACACGTCCAACTGTGCATATATAAGATTTACCGGCTTTTAGCTGATACATGTACGTTATTCATATAGACGCGGATCGGAGGCACAAATCTCGAATCTTTTATACTACGCTGTTCCTCGTCCTTTTTTGGATTTTCTCCCGTGCAAGTAAGTATGCGCTGACGCGGCGAGAATTTTATACTTTTAAATTTCAAAGCGTCGACGAATGAAGGTCAAGCCGTTTCCATTTGGTCAAACTGATATATTTTATATGTATACGTGCAATAAAGCGCGCGGTGCAGCATCACAATAATCATAAAATCGTCGAGTGAACGTATACGTGTCTATAGTTGAAAATAAACCCCGTGATTATTTTATTGGTATAATTTCATTAGTTGGTTACGATGTTGAATAATTCAATGCCCTCGCGGGTAAATATATAATATACGTATACGTGACAAAATGCGTCGTTGATACTTGATAAACAAAAAAAAAAAAACAAAAAAAAAAAATCTCCGATCGAAACATAGTGTCGATCGATTCCTTTTTTTTCTCCCCCCGTGACGCGCTCGTTTGAATAATACAGAGCTAGCCTACAGTGGTACAAGAATATATCCACAGTCTTGGAGAAAAAAAAAAGGTAAAATAAACGCGTGAGTCACGCGGCTCGTCAATCGGGTTTATACCTCGTTGCGTGTCCATGAGACTTTGTGAAAAAATTGCGACCCGAAATGCGATTCTACCCCTTCCTTGAGGGGTTTTCCCGAATATCATCGGATGAATTTCGGGATGCACCGGTTTTCGGTGAATTTTTCATGCCGTCCGCTCGTTTTATTAGCAAGATACGATACATTTCCTGCCAAGGTCTGAACGAAAAAGAAAAAAAAAAAAAAAAACCAGGAATCGGCGATCGATCGGTACAAATATACGGTATACATTACTGCGACCGTGTGCGTCTAGACGCGCTGCACATATACCTACCCTGTAACGGCGAGCTCTCCGATAATTACGAATTCATGAGAAAAGAGCCTCTTTATTATTATTATTACACACACACATTTCCATCACACAATATACGTATAAACGTAACAAATATTTTCTCTGAGCGCACAATGTTTACTTATATACACAAGCACTCAACTTTACATGCACGCTGCACAAAACACACGTACAGAGCATATATATACACAAATAATAAAGTAATACACTTATTGGGTGATATGTGAAATTGAACGAGCACACGTGAGCAGTTGCAATGACACAAACACGATTATAATCAGGCCAGGAAAACAAACACAAATAACTATACGCACAGTGATGGCATTACACATATTATTATGTACAGGTGGAGAGCAATAATTGATAGATTCGAAGAAAAAGCATTCCTGCGTGCATGTAATATGTCGGGACGGTAAGAAGGATAAGAGGAAGGTAATATAAGCTTACTTACGTTAATCACGTGTCATTTATATTATTGTATAGCCCGTGTACTATATACATAGTTACATCCCCGGCTATTCGCACTGCACGATCGATCGATCGATCGCTTATTGGAAAACAATTACATACGGCATGAATATATACCTATCGCGTATATGACAAAGCGCGCGGCGGAGGTGATGGTGCAGCTGAGCCCGCGTTTAACGGAAACTTCCTCTCTCTCTCTCTCTCTTTCGCTCGGGTTTATACTTGCCCATCGATGTATATATATATATAATATATACGTATAGAATTTCGAAGGAGTTTGCACCTATGGATACGTATACATCTTTCGACGAAAGAGATAAGATCCCACCGGGCCACGTGAAATTCGCGCGAAAATTTATTTATTTTACGGCCTCTCGTGCGGCATCCCCTCAAACATATACTATATACTTGACGATACATACACGGCCCTCATTGGGTTCCGCTTACGAGATTTATGCATCACTAATTGCGCGTCGTCTTCGTAGCCGACGGGATAATTGCCTTAAGAAGCCGCTGACGTAACGTTCGCGAGAAAGCTGCCGAGGCCCAATTACGCATTGTCCCGTCCACCACCCCTAGCCCTCTTTTTTTTTTTTTTTTTTCTTTAATTATCGTCTTCGAGAGATATACGTGTAATTGTAAGCGCATGGATCGCGCCAAGGAGCGGCCGATTAAATCCAATGATGCTCGATTTATCGGTATTAAGTGTAAGTACACGCGAGAGAGAGAGAGAGAGAGAGAAATAACATTGGCGAGATATTAGCAATAAAAGGTCAAGGGAATATTATAACAACGCGACCGGCCGTGGGTTATGCAATGACTCTATAATTTAGAATACATTCTAGTGTACATACATAATATTTATATACACTTGTATGTTATATTTACAAAGAGTTACAAGAGTTTTCAGTGCTACCAGTAACTATATTAAATTTGTCCGTGGTATACATATATTATATATGCGATGATGCATCGTAAGGATCGTTTGGTATATATATATACGTGTTACTGAACTTGGCTCCATATAGATTCTCGTTTACTACTACTGTTTTGACAATAATGTACATCCCACACCGCGAAAACATGTGGTATATTTGTGTGATTTTATGTCATGTCATATATTTACGGTAGTTGTATGGGGAATAACGAGGCTTTCCCTATATTATACCACTAAGCTCTGGGAGCAGTACGAACATTCCAATCGGTATGACTTACTCGCCACATTTAGAGTGCTTATATATATGATATATGATATGTACCAAAGGACCGCATGAGTTTCAGGCCCACGGAGCAGTGCGTTAAGTGATGACATAATTTTATGCGGGATGTAGGACTGGTACTCTTGTGTCTACTGTACATACGGGCAGTTTTTGGATTTTTCGTGTTTCTTTCGGGTAAAATTACGAGCGATCATCAGAGCAAGGACTCGTGAGATGACAAATGTTTCGTTGTACGCACTGCTCCATGCATATCCGCTCAACTAATGAAGCCACCGATCCGCGAGCAAAAGAGAAAGTTTCAGGCCCGCGGTCTCTTGTTTTCCTTTTTCCGAGTAAACGTAATGCGTCGTTCTTCCGGGATACCATTGGTCGCAAATTCATCTGTGCAAACATACAATAGTATACGTATATCAATCGAAACGCCGTTGACAAAGACGACGCGGCAATTTTTTCCCGCGACAGGAAGACACGTACACTCGTGTGTGACAAATACCCTTTTGTGTTATCACTCATGAGTAATTCACCGATAAACTGCATAACGCGGAGCAACGTGTTATTGCACGGGGAGTTTTTTCCTTTTTATTATCAGATACCTGTTATCTGCGACCGCTTTTTTTTTTTGATGACTCAACTTGTGTACGATTCACCGCGTCGCCAGCATTATTTTTAGTCTACTTTTTCAGAAAATAAGAAGAGAAACAAAAAAAACAAACAAACAAAAAAAAAAAAGTTTCGCCCAAGGATGCCTTTCGAGCCGGCGTTTTATTCCTCGACGCCGCAAATCGGGTTAGAAAAGATGTAATCGTATAAAAAGAAGCCTTCTCTGGCGGTCGCCGTGTATGTTGTATACATTTACAACATTACCGTATATTATGTGCCCCGGCATCGAATGTTTCGTTGAAAATGATAAAATAAAAATAAACGCAATCGTTGTCGCGCACAATATGCAAACAAACGGATGATGGGTTGCGAGGAAAATCGATAATACGTTGCACAACGCAGCTATTACGCGCACACGATATAAATATAATTATATTGTATTCCAGGTGTAACTCTTATAACCGCACACGTTATGTTCTTCCAAAATGGATAAAAATTGGGAGAGATGAGCTTGTCTTTTTTTTTTTTTTTTTTTTCAATACCGATGACAAAGATAAGGTATATACCTACGAGTATCAAGGAGAATTGAATGCGTTCCAAGTTTTTTTTTTTTTTTTTTTCACAAAGTCGATTCAACACACGGGAGGACAGCTCATATAATAAATATAGGCGCTCATTATTCACGTTGGCCACAAGGAGCCTGTGGTCCGTGAGAGTGCGAAAATCATGTCACGGCTCGGTGGTATTATTCCATCCGCGCTATGTGTGGTATACTTTTTGGTACATTGTTTTCTCAAAATAAGTTTCAAAAAAACGCACCGCTTTTTGTTTTTTTTTGTTTTTTTTTTTTTGTTTTTTCCCCATGATGGTCATTGTAATTCACAACGAGCAAGCAAAAGCCGCCACAATTTTTGACGAAATATATTTCAACGTTACGTTATATATTTTTTTTATGTAATGCCTTGACCAAATTGCTGCAAAGTTGCGCAAAGTCATGTAAATATATACGTGTACACTGATACAAATAATGTGTTGCAATTTATGCGAGTATAATCTTTCGTTGCGAACAAGCGAAGCGTATACACTTACGGGTGAGGTACATATATATACAAGCAATGATAGGCGCTAAAATAAACGAGAGGGAAAAAAAAAGAAAGACGAATTATCAAGTCTGTAGTGCAATACTTACACATAAATATACACGCATGACTGTATAACACAACAAGCACGAAAAATCGAACACTACACATGGATGGGGTATTGAAAATGAAAGTGTGCGACACACAATGTATATACGGAATGTATCGTGTGCGTGTGTGTATGTGCAGAGAAAAAAAAAAAAAAAAAAAAAAAAAAAAAAAAAAAAAAAAAAAAAAAA